GCCTCACAGAGGACCTTAAGGTCCACGAATAATCATAGTTTAGAGGTCCTGGGCCCTAAAGAAGTCAGACTACCCTCCACCAGGGCCAGGGCCTTCTCAGTGATGGCTCCGACCTGGTGGAAATGCTCTGTCCCATGAGACCAGGGCCCTGCAGGATTTAACTTCCTTCCGCAGGGCCTGTAAAACAGAGCTATTCTGCCTAGCTTTCAATTTGAACTTAGCCTGATCTTTTATTCCCCTTCCTTCCCTTCCCTCCCCCTCCCCTTTTTATGAAGATTACCCGCTCTGAGACCCCACAGCTAATTCTCCCCTGGCCTCCTCGCTGGCCCAAATAGGACTAATTTAGCCAGCTAGCCCTGGTGATCATCTAATGTTTATTGGATGGATTTCCCCCCTAACTTGATTTTTGAATTCTGAATTTTATTGTTCACGTTTTATACTGTTTTTTATGCTGTTTTTTGTGGCATCAATTAAGCGTTTTAAATTTGTTGTTAGCTGCTCTGAGCCTGGTTTTCTGAACCGGGAAGGGCGGGGTATAAATAAAAAATCATTATTATTATTTATTAATGAAGAGAGGGTGATAAATGTGATGAAGTTTCCATCTATTTCCTGCCTTTTGTGAATGGGAGCCTAGCTTCAGAAACGAGCTGTATATTACATGAAGAATCTAGTAGAGGGAGTGACTTGACGTTATCTTTTTGAACAGCCTATACAGTGGAACCTCAGGAGTCGAATGCCTTTAAACTCAAACGTTTTGGCTCCTGAACGATTGAAAACCGAAAGTGATTCTTCCGATTTTCAAACGTTTTTCAGAAGCTGAATGTCCAGTGTGGCTTCCATGGCTCCTGCGGCCAATCGGAAGCCGTGCCTTGGTTCTGGAACCATTTCGGGAGTCGAATGGCCTCCCGGAATGGATTAAATTCGAGAACCAAGGTATTAAATTCGAGAACCAAGGTATTAAATTCGAGAACCAAGGTACTGTATTGAAGCAGTCCATTCCGGGATTTGTTACATGCCATTGATACTCATCGCATAAAGGATCTTTGCTCCGCTTAGGGCTGGGCAAATAGACTCATTATTTAATTGTGCAATCATCAGCTTGGGGTCATTGTACCTCTGCTGGGGAAACGTTTCTGTTTGCCGCTATGCAGGGGAACAAGCTTCTCATCCTCTTCTGGCTGCAGGTGTGCTGTTGGGGCACCAGTTCTGGTGGGAAAGTTCTTGTCTGGCCCACAGATGGCAGCCACTGGATTAACATAAAGATGATGCTCAATGAGCTGGCCTTGAGGGGCCACTCAGTGACGGTGTTGATACCCTCAGCCTCTTACTTGATCGATCCGAAAGAGGCATCGTCTTCCTCTTACCACATTGAGGTCCTGCCCGTGACCTTCACCAAAGAGGAGGTGTCAGCTGTTCTGGAGAAATTCCTGGATGTAGCGACGTACGAGTTGCCCACGCTCCCCTTTTGGAAAGCTATGCAGAAGATGAGAGAATTAGTTGCTTCCTTCGAAGAAGTGTCTAAACAGGTCTGCGACAGCATTTTCTACAATGAGACACGGATAGCGATGCTGAGGAAGGAGGACTTTAATGTCCTCATCTCCGACCCACTGACACCTTGCGGTGACCTGCTGGCTGAGTTGCTCGGAATCCCCTTTCTGTACACTTTTCGGTTCTCAGATGGCAACAGCATGGAGAGACTCTGTGGACAACTCCCTGCTCCTCCTTCCTATGTCGGTGCCAGCACTGGAGGGATGAGTGACAGGATGAGCTTTGTTGAGAGGATGAAAAATGTCCTCTTCTATGCTTTCAGCGATGGATTTTTCCTGTTTTCCTTGGCAAGTGAGTGGGATCGATATTACAGCGAGATTTTAGGTAAGTGTAGGCAAACTTTACAAAACGCGGGTGGTGCTGTGGGTTAAACCACAGAGCCTACGACTTGCCGATCAGAAGGTCGGCGGTTCGAATCCCCGCGACGGGGTGAGCTCCCGTTGCTTGGTCCCTGCTCCTGTCAACCTAGCAGTTCGAAAGCACGTCAAAGTGCAAATAGATAAATAGGTACCGCTCCGGCGGGAAGGTAAACGGCATTTCCGTGCGCTGCTCTGGTTCTCCAGGAGCGGCTTAGTCATGCTGGCCACATGACCCGGAAGCTGTACACCGGCTCCCTTGGCCAATAAAGTGAGATGAGCGCCGGAACCCCAGAGTTGGTCATGACTGGACCTAATGGTCAGGGGTCCCTTTACCTTCACTTTAGGCAAACTGTAGGGTTTTTGTTCTTCAGAGGTGTCAGGGTTTTATTTATCCAAAGTTACAGTCAGATGCTCTGGGGCAGGCTGTGGCTCAGTGGCAGAACATCAGGTTTGCATGCAGAAAGTTCTCAGCATCTCCAGGAAGCTGTGAGAGAGACCCCTGGACAGCCCTTGCCAGTCAGTGTGGACAGAATTGAGCAAGATGGACCAAGGCAGCTTCCTATCTTCTGATGCTTCCACCCCGAAAAGTTGAAAATGTTATCATCTTTGGCCAACAGGGTGCTGCTGTTGTTTGCTGTTGATTTGTGGAGCTTTGAAGAAGAAGAAGAAGAGTTTGGATTTGATATCCCGCCTTTCACTCCCCTTAAGGAGTCTCAAAGTGGCTAACATTCTCCTTTCCCTTCCTCCCCCACAACAAACACTCTGTGAGGTGAGTGGGGCTGAGAGACTTCAGAGAAGTGTGACTGGCCCAAGGTCACCCAGCAGCTGCATGTGGAGGAGTGGAGACGCGAACCCGGTTCCCCAGATTACGAGTCCACTGCTCTTAACCACTACACCACTTTGAAGTACGCGGGAAAAGATTGCAAAACCTGTTTGACCACAGACGATAACGGGACAGAGAAATATGCATGGCATGAGCAACAGTGACTCATCTCAATTTACTTTAAACAAGCCAGGAGTCATAAAACCAGTAACAAGCAGCAGTTTGAGGCTGGCTTGTGATCCCAGTAGCACTGAGCCATCCCCTTCCGGGTTTGTTTACTTGCTGGCAGCAGCAGGGGAGGAGCCAAGTGGCAGCAAGTGGGCTGTGCGCCCAGCATAGTTCTGGTTTCCTGTTAATGTGATAAAGTGGAAGCTGAGGCTGGTGTCACGGACTGGCTGGATGCAGAGTAGTGGGAGGCACCAGCTGGGAAACTCCCAAAGGAAGAAGGCTCAGAGCCCGGGGGGGTGGGATGGGAAGGCAGTGAGTGGTTAGAGGAAGCAGACCGGGAGGAGGTGGTATTGGAAGCTGAAGAGACAACAGGGTTTAGTGAGCAGGAAGAGGCTGTGGAAGAGAGCAGTTCAGACTCAGAGGCAGAAGTGGAGGCTGGAGAAGAGGAGGACCATGAAGCAGAGATGAGGCAGGCTGCTGAAGAAACCAGGGGGTCTTCCCCTCCTGCTGTGACCAGCTCCCTCCCGCCTGGTCACCCAGAACCAGAAGAAGTATGAAGAGGATGGGGCAAAGATGGGCATGCTGGTGGATGCTCAGATTGCTTGGAAAGTACCCAGGGGAGGAGGAGACTATGGGAGCTGTTGGGAAGGTGGGGACACACAGAAGGGAACGGCCTCACAGGGGTAAGATCTACCGAGAAGAGTTGCTGTGCTCAGTAGGCCTGGCCTCCTGAGCCGACCCTGTTTCCTTGAATAAAGAGTTAACTTTACTGATGCTGTGTGATTTATTCCCGACCGGCTCCTGACACCTGCCAACCGAGATACTGGACTCTTGAGGGGTGCATTTTAAAAAGTGTAACCAAAGAGATGCGAAGGCTAACTCAGCCCTCCTCAACGAACAACCAGATGTTTGAAGGTGGTACAGTATATATCCCTGAGCACCAGGTGCTGGGAAAGGAGAGAGGGAAGCAGAGAGGCCTTGCCTTCATGCCCAGCTTGGAAACTTGCTAGAAGCAAATCTGCCCAGCCACTGCTGTAAACACCAGGCTGGGCTAAATGGACTTCGGTCTGATCCTGCATTGCTCCTCTTTTGCTTTCATCGTAAGCACAGGAGGGCACTGGGAATGTTTTTGGCAGTGAAAGAATGGGAGAAATATGACAGAATTGGGGCAGTGGAAGACAACAACTGTGTGAGATATATAGGAATGACCTGTGAGCAGGAAGTGATCCTTCCTGAAAAATAAACGTGTTTCCTTTTCAATACAGTGGTACCTCGGGTTAAGTACTTAATTTGTTCCAGAGATCTGTACTTAACCTGAAACTGTTCTTAACCTGAAGCACCACTTTAGCTAATGGGGTCTCCTGCTGCTGCCGCGCCGCTGGAGCACGATTCTGTTCTCATTCTGAAGCAAAGTTCTTAACCCGAGGTTAGCGGAGGTTAGTGGAGAATGTAACCTGAAGCGTATGTACCCCGAGGTACCACTGTATTAGGTGTTTCTTATTCCTCCCTTTTCTTAAAAAAAAAATATTCAAGATGGTTCATTCCAAACTCTTTCCTAGTGGGTCACTGAGAATTTGCCCATAAGGTCTCAAAAACCCTGAGAAATGAAGCTTCAGCCAGCCTCCCTCAGCCTGGTTCCCTCCAGAGGTTTTGGACTACAATTCCCATCAGCCCCAGTCAGTGCAGACATGCTGGCCGAGGCTGATGGACTCTGTAGTCCAAAACTTCAGGAAGGAGCCAGGTTGGAAAAGCTGATCTAAGCAGTTTGGAAACAACAGTGATGTGCCTTCAGCTATCAACACTGACTTTGAAGCAATGGGTTCTTTCAACTATTACTCAACTGTGAGCTTGGGTGTGCCTCTGAAAGAGTATCCACCAAGGAGCCAATCCTAACAAGCAAGCATGTGCAGTACATTCATTTCTGCAAGCTCAGCCCCCTGTTGTGGTTCACATTTATTGTCTTCTTTTTTCAGGTGCACCTTACACTGCTGAAATGTAATGTCTGAACCACAGTATTTCTGGAAGCAAGTTTGCCAAAGCAGTTGAATCTGGGAAGAAGAGTCGAGCTGAATTTAACCCCCTTCCTTTTTCTCACTAAACAGGGAGACCCACAACATTATGTGAAGTGATGGGGAAAGCAGAGATCTGGTTGATTCGCACCTACTGGGACTTTGAATTCCCGCGGCCTTTCCTACCCAATTTTGAATTTGTGGGGGGTCTGCACTGCCAGCCAGCCAAGCCTTTGCCAGAGGTAATTCCCTCCTTTGCCTGTCAACTGGTCGTGGTAATCGTGCCTGGTTCTCCTACAAAACACCACCAGGAAAGGGGAGGACGTGTGGTGGCGAGGACAAGTTGTTGTTGTTTAGTTGTTTAGTCGTGTCCGACTCTTCGTGACCCCATGGACCAGAGCACGCCAGGCACTCCTGTCTTCCACTGCCTCCCGCAGTTTGGTCAGACTGCCCAACCATCTCATCCTCTGTCGTCCCCTTCTCCTTGTGCCCTCCATCTTTCCCAACATCAGGGTCTTTTCCAGGGAGTCTTCTCTTCTCATGAGGTGGCCAAAGTATTGGAGCCTCAGCTTCAGGATCTGTCCTTCCAGAGAGCACTCAGGGCTGATTTCCTTAAGAATGGAGAGGTTTGATCTTCTTGCAGTCCATGGGACTCTCAAGAGTCTCCTCCAGCACCATAATTTAAAAGCATCAATTCTTCAGCGATCAGCCTTCTTTATGGTCCATCTCTCACTTCCATACATCACTACTGGGAAAACCATACCTTTTACTATACGGACCTTTGTTGGCAAGGTGATGTCTCTGCTTTTTAAGATGCTGTCTACGTTTGTCATTGCTTTTCTCCCAAAAAGCAGGCGTCTTTTAATTTTGTGGCTGCTGTCACCATCTGCAGTGATCATGGAGCCCAAGAAAGTAAAATCTCTCACTGCCTCCATTTCTTCCCCTTAATTACGTATATGTGGAGGGGGATGGCTTTCTTTCATGGGCTTGCTCTGAATATCAGCTCCAAATCTGAGGTAGTTGGTGGTTTCACAGCATCCATATCTGAAGATTTATTTAGGGGCAAATTCAGGGGTGACATTCAGAGTGGAAGCCTGGAAGATGGACAGATCTAACACAGAGGACACATTCTATCTCAGGCTTCCTCAACCTCGGCCCTCCAGATGTTTTTGGCCTACAACTCCCATGATCCCTAGCTAGCAGGACCAGTGGTCAAGGATGCTGGGAATTGTAGTCTCAAGACATCTGGAGGGCCAAGGTTGAGGAAGCAAGGGCTATTTTGTGTTCATCCCAGTGCAGCTTGTGGAGAGACATGGATTGTGTCCCATGTTTATGTGGGGATGGATTCTGGTCTGGGTTTCAATCCATTTCAGATTTATCTCGAAGTGGCAAAGAGATTGCAGTTGGGGGCTGCAGATGATTAACCTGCTAGCATCACATTCACTTCCGAAAGTGGAGTGGAGAGATATGTCAGTCCCACTCAAGTCCTAGACATATTTAAGCGCAAGGTGGGGTGCAGCAAAAGTCTGGGAATAGGGCTCAGGAGCCATCAAAGTGCTAGGAGGGCCCTCAAGTCAGTAGCTCAGCAGCTAAAGAGAGCCAGTGTGGTGTAGTGGTTAAGAGTGGTGGACTCGTAATCTGGCGAACTGGGTTCGCTTCCCCGCTCCTCCACATGCAACTGCTGGGTGACCTTGGGCTAGTCACACTTCTCTGAAGTCTCCCAGCCCCACTCACCTCATAGGGTGTTTATTGTGGGGGAGGAAGGGAAAGGAGAATGTTAGCCGCTTTGAGACTCCTTAGGGGAGTGATAAAGTGGGATATCAAATCTAAACTCCTCCTCCTCCTCCTCCTTTAGTTATCATTTCACCTTTAGGACTTTAGAACTCATAAAGTTAGACTAGGCCAGGTATTGATATTGTTGTCATTAATATATTCAGGGTCCTTACTAGGCAACCAGTTTACTGGGATTTAATTCCCTCCCCAGTCAGTCTCTCTCTCTCTCCCTCTCCCTCTCTCTCTCTCTCTCTCTCACACACACACACACACACACACGATGTGGATTAGATTCAACTTGTCAAATAAGGCAAGTTGACAAAGGCAGAGTAATACTATATATGAACTGCAATTCATAAAGCTATAAAATATGTTCCCAAGATTTAATACTTCGATTGACAACCGTAACAGGAAGGAGAAGCAGTTTTTGTCCTTGTTATCATCGTAAATACCATAGGCTTAGTAGTACAAAAACACTTCATTAACTGAAGCCTGATATTTATTATTATTAGGAATAGTAGTATATCTCTCAAGGTACGGTAATTCTCAAAAATTGGAAGATGGATTTCATGTACTGCTGGGGGACACTGCCACCTTATGATGAATGATGGAATTCCACGGACGTTAAACAAAAATGTATCTTTCTCACAATTGCTTCACATATTTTGTAGGTTAAACTGGTAATCTTCTTTGGCTTTTCATCTGGTCAAACACAGAACTTACCAAACAGTTAAAGCCATAGCTGTCAACTGTCCCTTATTTGGCGGGACAGCTGTGTCCCGCTGCTGTCCCTTATTGATGGATGTCCCTTAAATGATGTCCCTTAAATTTCAAAGGAAGCAGCTCCTCTCCCTCCCTCCCTGCTGGCCAGGGAGGAGGGAGGCTCCAACTGTGTTGCTTGGCTGCGCTGCTCACCCAATAAGGAGTCTAAGAACGACTGGGGGGTGGAGCTTGCATGCCTTGTGTGTGGCTAGTTAATGCAAGCTGAGGAGGTTTTTGCATGCCTTGTGCCGATCAAATCAGCTGCGTTGCCTGTGCTCAGCGCTTCCCAGCGGAGAGGTCATGGTGGTTTCCCTTGCTGCATCCCCTTTGCCGGGTTGCTGCGCTGTGGGAACCACCGCTTGAGGCTTTGTTTGGCTGCTGGCTGGGCTTTCTGCCTTTGGCTTGGAGGGGTTCAGAAGTTGAACATACCTGTGCCCTGAAAATCCCTTATTTTGGCTGCTGATCCCTTATTTTCGAGGCCGCTGGCCCCTTATTTTCAAATCTGTAAGTTGGCAGCTATGGTTAAAACAGAGGTGGGGGAGCAGGAACTGCAGACCGTGTTGGGCGACAACTCTCTTCATTCCTGCCCATTGACCATGGTGTTTGAGACTGAGGGGAGCTGGAGAATACAACAATCACTGGAGGACCACAAATTAAATTCCTCACTACTGTTGTCTTCTGCATTTTAGTTATTCTTTTCTCTCTCTCTCTCTCAGAGGTTGGGGACCTGTGGCCCTCCAGACGTTGGTGTGCTCCAAATGTTACAACACTCTGCTTTACTTAGAAGATCTCTCCCATTTCCCAGTCAGCACGGCCAATGTTAAGGATGTTATTACAGCACAACTTATAAAATAAGCCAAGAAAAAATGGATTACCACAGCTAGTCATGTATACATTTCAGGCAGCAGAGGGAACGTTACTTTTAATTGCTTTTGCCTTTTAATAGGAAATGGAAAAGTTTGTCCAGAGTTCAGGAGAACACGGCATTGTGGTCTTCTCCCTGGGCTCAATGATTAAAAACGTAACAGAGGAAAAGGGGAACATGATCGCATTGGCCCTCAGCCAGCTTCCACAGAAGGTATGTTCTTTTGGATGACTGCTTGGTGCTGTATGTTTTTATATATATATATAAAAGTTGTATGCTGGACTTTGGAAAAGTGAACATAATGCTTCAGTTGGGAAGAAAGCGGGAGAGGCTAGGGTGTTCCTACTACTGATAAAATACAGGGGTCAGCAAAGGGGACCAGTCCACTGTCCCTCAGACCTTGTGGGAGGCCAGACTATATTTTGGAAGGAAAAAAATGAACGAATTCCTATGCCCCACAAATAACCCAGAGATGCATTTTAAATAAAAGGACACATTCTACTCATGTAAAAACACACTGATTCTCGGACTGTCCGCAGGCCGGATTTAGAAGGCGATTAGCCCAGATCTGGCCCCCAGGCCTTAGGTTGCCTAAAGGTAAAGGTAAAGGGACCCCTGACCATTAGGTCCAGTCATGACCGACTCTGGGGTTGCAGCGCTCATCTCGTTTTATTGGCCGAAGGAGCCGGGTCATGTGGCCAGCATGACTAAGCCGCTTCTGGCAAACCTGAGCAGCGCATGGAAACGCCGTTTACCTTCCCGCTGGAGCGGTACCTATTTATCTACTTGCACTTTGATGTGCTTTTAAAGTGCTAGGTGGGCAGGAGTTGCCTACCCATGGATAAAAACATGCTTGCATATTGGTTGTGGGGGAAATGGCTGTCTCTGTAGAATCCACGGCCAGATTGCTCACCAAGGCAAGATGACTTGAGCATATGACACCAATCCTGGTCCAACCTCATGGACTGCCAGTTAGCTTCCAGGCCCAACTAAGTGTTGGGTTTTGACCTATAAAGCCTTTAAACACCTCAAGACCACAATACTGAAAGAAGCGCCTTTCTCCATATGAACCAACCATCAGGGGTTGGCAAAGTTTTTGTGGCTTGGGCCGGTTCATGGTCCCGCAGATGCCACAGTGGGCTGGAGTGCGCTTGCACGCACAAACGCTATTTCTGGCGCTCCTTCTGGCGCGGAGGAGGCGTGCGCAGCTTCCCATTGGACTGCAGGAGGGTCCTGCAGCCAATGGGAAGCCGGCCAGCATCATGGAAGGTGGTCCCCGCTCTGCTCCGCGCCAGTTTAGCGCAGTGCACGGGAGCCAACTGAGTGTGCGGCGGGGGTCCATGGGCTGGTTAAACGACCCCCATGAGCCTTAGGCTGCCGACCCCTGAATGAGATCATCAGCTGAGGCCATTCTCCATGCGTTCCCTCCATGAGAAGTTTGGAACGTGGCAACATAAGAACAGGTCTCTTCTGTGGCGGCGGATGCCCTTTAACCGACTATGGCCTTTTAGAAATGGGTGGGATGATTTTAATGCTCTAGTTTTTTATGTGGGGTTTTGCTTTGTTTGTAGGTTGCTTTGGGTTGTCTTGTGCAAGATAAAATGACTAACAAATTTAATAAATAGTAGTTGTTATGGTCCCCTTACGTGATTTCAGTTAATGGTGATGTCTGAGAGGATATCGTATGCAATTGCTATCTATGCTGCTATCAAATGTGGAATTTGTTTGTGATATTTTCAGAATGCTATACTTCTCTGAAATATGAAGCTGTTTATATATATTTATATATTTGTACACACACACACATACACTTCCCTTTAACATAGTGGGCGAGAGGCAAAAGTTACTTCGCAAATGATGTACTAATTCTTCTGGGAAAAGATAAAAAGGTAAAGGTAAAGGTACCCCTGCCCGTACGGGCCAGTCTTGACAGACTCTAGGGTTGTGCGCTCATCTCACTCTATAGGCCGGGAGCCAGCGCTGTCCTGAGACACTTCCGGGTCACGTGGCCAGCGTGACAAGCTGCATCTGGCGAGCCAGCGCAGCACACGGAACGCCGTTTACCTTCCCGCCAGTAAGCAGTCCCTATTTATCTACTTGCACCCGGGGGTGCTTTTGAACTGCTAGGTGGGCAGGAGCTGGGACCAAAAGACGGGAGCTCACCCCGCCACGGGGATTCGAACCGCCGACCTTTTGATCGGCAAGCCCTAGGCGCTGAGGCTTTTACCCACAGCGCCACCCATGTCCCACTACATGGGAGTAAATGTCCATTGAATACCAATATGGGACATAAAATAACACTGGAGAAAGTTTAGCTAAATAAAATATGTAAGACATAATATAAATAGGCATACTACTCACATTTTAATTAAACATCATTATTTCTAGGACTGGGTACAATCTCAACCACGGTGCCACATATTAATAGTTCAATGAACAGAATAGAACTTAAGTCTTGTTGGCCATTTAAAATAGGGGCACATATTTGAGCTTTTCAAAAAGAAATCTGGTTCTGTTTTTTGTGTAAAGACAACAAAACAAAAACAAAACAAAAAAACCCACAACTGCTGAAGCACTGGTTTTTATAGAGAGCATTTAAGCATATACTTAAGCAATGTGCTAAAACAATGTTCGGCTTTAGCTGTATTCATGCTCAATGTTTTAACTTTTAATCTTTTTCCTTTCCTTTGTGTTGATAAAAGGTCAATATAACCTGTGGGCCAGCATCAAGCTTAATCGTCTTTGCAATTATTCTTTCATTTCTCTCTCTCTCCCCCCCCCCCCCAAATCTCAGGTTCTCTGGCGCTACAAAGGAAAAAGGCCAGACACATTAGGAGCCAACACCAGACTTTATGACTGGATCCCGCAAAACGACCTTCTTGGTGAGAGATCTTATGCTGCAAACATTGGCTTCATTGCTCCTTTCTGACAATTGCTAGGAAATACAAACTCTGCATTTCCATGTTGGAAACTACATACGCAAAGCACTGTGGAACCCACAAAATGTATTTGAAAACCAAGAGTTTCCAACTATTCATAATTTGGGTGACTGCAAAATACATCCATTTTTGAAAGCGCTATTTTGTGATTGAGCGCTGAAAATTCTTGGGTTCTAGAAACACATTTTGTGTGTGTGTGTGTGAATGGCAATATTAAGGGATTGCATGTCAACTGGACTAAACTTGAATGCTGTAATCAGTAATCAGTTGCAATAATCTGCTTTTATTAGATGGAGTCCAGATCTTAAAAAGCATTGTCATCTATGGATATCTCTGATGGTTAGAGCGTGGTGCTGGTTAACACCAAAGTTGCAGGTCTTAGCCTTGTATGGGACAGCTGCAAGGGTCAAGACACTCATAACTTACAACATTAACTACAGTGGTACCTCGGGTTACATACGCTTCAGGTTACAGACTCCACTAACCCAGAAATAGTACCTCGGGTTAAGAACTTTGCTTCAGGATGAAAACAGAAATTGTGCTCCGGCGGCACGACAGCAGCAGGAGGCCCCATTAGCTAAAGTGGTGCTTCAGGTTAAGAACAGTTTCAGGTTAAGGACGGGACCTCTGGAACGAATTAAGTACTTAACCTGAGGTAACACTGAACTGGTCTCTACTGCCACAATAGGCGCTGTGATTCTCCAGCACTTTGACTTCACTCCCAGGGGTGCACTCCATTGTTTCTTGAGACAGACAGATGCCAACAAGTTACTATAATTATTCTGGTCTCATGTTATCAGCAGCTGGAGTTGTGATAGTTTGGAGGTCTCAGCAGGTATCAACTGACTACTAAAAAGGTAAAGGTAAAGGTAACCCTGACCGTTAGGTCCAGTCATGGAAGACTCTGGGGTTGCGTGCTCATCTCGGTCTATAGACCGAGGTAGCCGGCGTTTGTCCGCAGACAGCTTCTGGGTCATGTGGCCAACATGACTAAGCTGCTTCTGGCGAACCAGAGCAGCGCACGGAAATGCTGTTTACCTTCCCGCCAGAGCGGTACCTATTTATCTACTTGCACTTTGACGTGCTTTTGAATTGCTAGGTGGGCAGGAGCTGGGACTGAACAACAGGAACTCACCCCCGTCGCGGGGATTCGAACTGCTGACCTTTCGATTGGCAAGCCCTAGGCACTGTGGTTTAGACCACAGCACCACCCGTGTCCCCAATTGACTACTAGTGGTTTATATCTTTTGATTACCATGATCGCCCATATTTTTCTCAACAACTACTAGTTGAGAAAAATATGGGCGATCATGGTAATCAAAAGATATAAACCACTATAGTTGTATCTTGGAAGTTGAACAGAATCCATTCCGGAAGTCTGTTTGACTTCCAAAACGTTCTCAAACCAAAGCACGGCTTCTGATTGGCTGCAGGCAGCTCCTGCAGCCAATGGAAAGCCATGGAAGCCCCGTCGGATGTTCGACTTCCAGAAACAGTTCACAAACCGGACCGGAACAGTCACTACCGGGTTTGCAGCGTTCGGGAGCCAAAACATTTGAGAACTAAGCTGTTCGAAAACCAAGGTACGACTGTATAGGATGGGGAAATTTAAATGGATATTTCAATGAAATTAGGAATTTTGGGGTCTTGGAACCAGTGAAAAAATAGCATGTCATACACAAAGTATGCAGTGGTATCAAAATATTTTTTTTTTGGGGGGGGGTACATAGATGGGAAAATTTTCCTTATCACATTTTACCCATCTTCCCATTCCAGGACACCCCAAGACGAAAGCCTTTATAACACATGGTGGAACCAATGGGATTTATGAAGCTATTTACCATGGTGTTCCCATGGTTGGGATCCCCATGTTTGCTGACCAACCCGATAACGTTGTGCACATGAAGGCAAAGGGGATGGCTGTACAGCTGGACATTCATACAATGAAGACAGAAGACTTAGTGGATGCCGTAAACACTGTCATTCACAATGCCACGTGAGTGAGACACAGATCGCCTTCTCTGTACCATGCCTGGAGCAAGCTAGGTACTTCAGCAATAGGTTTTGGAAGAGAAAAATGTAGCCGAGAAATCGTTAGCACATATTATTAATATTCTATAGCCAAGCCCATTCCCACCTGGCCCCATTTCCTCCTGCCCTGCTGTGGTCGTCTTCTTGCCACAAGTGTTTGCTTCTACCACGTTGGGATACATTTTCTCTTGCCAAAACCACATTTGAATCTAGCGCCTTCTGACATTTCTACTACTGACTTTCTGACTTGAGTTCTACTACGGAACTCAAAGGCTTTTGCCCCCAAACACCTCATGCCCTCAGTCTGAGGGGCAGACGACCCCGAAAGTACCGTATTTTTTGCTCTATAAGACTCACTTTTTCCCTCCTAAAAAGTAAGGGGAAATGTGTGTGCGTCTTATGGAGCGAATGCAGGCTGCGCAGCTATCCCAGAAGCCAGAACAGCAAGAGGGATTGCTGCTGTCACTGCACAGCGATCCCTCTTGCTGTTCTGGCTAAGATTCAGAATTTTTTCTTTTCTTGTTTTCCTCCTCCAAAAACTAGGTGCGCCTTGTGGTCTGGTGTGTCTTATAGAGCGAAAAATATGGTATATCTCCTTTTATTCAATATGATTTTCAGGTGCCGATCAGTCACTCATTCAGATTTTTGCAACAAATTACGCTACCAGTCTACAAAATGCACATAGCATGTTTCTGTAACATTCACAAGGCCACTTGCCTAAGAAAATCAGCAGAAGTTATAGGCAAATCAGAGCAATGTCTTCCCTTAATTTCCTTGTGTTACTTGCCATAATACATTAGTTAGTAAGCTGCCACAACAGTCTTGTTTTTAAATCCTGGGAGCAATTAGACTGCAGTCCTCTGAGTTCTGGCTCTATATTAATTTGTTCTTGTTTCTCTATCTTCCTCCAGATATAAGGAAAATGCAATGAGGCTGTCACAGATCCACCACGACCAACCGATAAAGCCGCTGGACCGCGCTGTCTTTTGGATTGAGTTTGTCATGCGCCACAAAGGTGCCAAGCACTTGAGAGCAGCTGCCCATCACTTGACCTGGTACCAGTATCACTCCCTGGACGTCATTGCCTTCTTGATCGGTTGCATGGCAGTTTTCATATTCATTGCTGTTAAATGCTGCTCATTTTTTTGTCGGAAATGTGGCAGGATTATTAGGAAAACCAAAACAGAGTAGCTTCTCCTGGGACCCGGCCATCGTTCTGTGGCTTGCATTATTCAGCATGCTCATGACTCGGTGTGCTAATACCCACCCCCCTTTATGAAAACTGCACCTAAACTTCTAATTTTTTTGCCACACTTTTCAACTCAAACGGATGTACAAGCCAGCCAATCTTAACTTTGCTCCATTCAGCACCTGAGTGAGTAATGTATGTATTGATGATGGTTCACACTTCGAGATCGCTCGTTTTTGTTTTGAACTGAGCTTATTCTGTAAACTCCGCAACTGGCAAAGTAGCACAGAACCTTTTTATTTGGAGGCAGTGACACTCTCTATGAATCTCTCAAAATATACATCTAAGTGTTGCTAAAGTGGGAAATTGCATAAACAACGTGGTCCTTTTCAAGATCAAGAACCGTTTATTTCTGAAACACAGCAGTCAAGGTTTCCTGTGGACATCAGTCACCTGCTGCTGGAGTACAGCACGTGCACAATCGATACGATCTAACAGACACTAGCCATGCCTGAATCTGCTTGGAATCAATGGACTAAAAATGCAAAATGCTGGATAGTCCGCACCGAAGCCGTTCCAATAATGACACAGTGATCCAGGAAAAAATGTGTCTAATTGCACATCTGCTGAAATTATTAATATTGTAATTCTTAAGAATAATTATGGTTTTTTTCCATTGTGATAGAGCTGCACGCATACTTCAATTCAGGACTGGAATAAATGATATTGGTGTAGAATTCAGTTTCCTCAGGATCAAAGGGAATATATATATTTTAAAGCAACTTTCGCCTTTCTGTTAGCAACAGTATACTTGGAAATGTCTAGTAAAACCTCAGAAGATTTGCAATGCTTGCAGTTCAGATTTGGGTGCCTGACTAGCTGCTTGACCCTCACCATGACTAGCAAAATAGGAGCGAGGCCAAAGGTGAATGTACATATAATTCAGCTTTTCATGGCACAGAATTCCATCACGCCACCTTTGTCACTGCCACTAGATCATCCTAGCTTTTGCTTTGCATAAATAGGACAGCTCTCTGTCCCAGCCATCATCTCACTCTAAACCCAAACCCTGCTCTGACCACAGTGGACTTCTTGTTCCCCAGAAGGAGGTTTTGCTACCTCTGAAACCTTGTCCCTGTCCAGCTTTTGCATTAGGAACACATTTCTTAGTGACGTGTAACACCTCACTCACCGCGCCCCCGCAATCTCTTCTTCCACAATGAATTTTATCCATTTTCCTAAGTCAATGGGTCTCAAGCTTTCTACTTTCCAGGAACTCTTTTGTCCATCACAGGAACATAGTATACTGAAGATGCTCAGAGAGTGCAAATTCAGTCCATGTGAGGCACTTTGTCAGGTCAGAGGAGGGAGAGATGGGTCGCCCCATCTGGAGTTAGGATGCAACTTAAAACATACTAAAATCACTTTTTGCCACACCAGTAATAGGTAAGGGATCTATTGAGCCAGAAGTGACCTTTTCGGATTATGGCTTTTTTGCTCCACCCCCCCCCTCAAAAACAAAACAAAACAAAGCAACTCATCAGAAACATGCACATCCATGAAAGTTGACTGTTACCAATTTATTATAAAAAAAAATGGTAGCAATGTAGAATACAGCAAGATTTTGTGCTCACACACACACACACACGGTGGACATTCCAAACAATATGGACATTTTTTTCGGGGGGTGGGGTGTAATATGGAAGTGGGAGAGGCGAGCAAACAATATCATTAACCAAAATGGCAGCAGAACACAGGAAAGCTGTTTAAAAGGTTAAAAATTAGATATCAATATTGTCATCTTAATATTGCTTTCATTATTGAACAAGCTTGACTCTTACAGAGGTTTTTTTCCCCCATAAAAAAAGGAACAACCAGAAAAACCAAGACGTGGCTGTTTCAACACGGACACACAGCCAAACCATCACACCCAGTATTTGCATACCTGATAGCAGCATTTCCCCCCACAGAATCATGTAAAAAACTACATGGAAGGAAACAAAAGCAAAAATATTATGGCAGTTGTCAACTGGTATTCAAACAAACAGATGATTAAATTACAGTTAAGATAAACACATAGGGATCATTAATCTACCTTCTTTAAACTTTTTCGAAACTGCTCAAATGAAAGTCACCAACTCAAGGGTCAAGTTTGCACTTTTTTTGTCTTTTTGTTTAGCCAATGGGGATTTTCCAGTTCACAGCTTACTGCATGCTTAGAACAAAGAGGGTCAATTATAAATCCTTCTACACAATAAAGTAGGTAGACAGAGGAAAATAGAAGTTTACTACCTGTAAACACACAAATATACAAGCCTTTGCTTTAAGTGACTGCAGTTCCGCAATGCATTATCTTCTATATCTTCCTCTTTCTCCTCTGTCTCTGTCCCGATCGCATATCCTCTCCCTCTCCCTCTCCCTGCCCCGATCCCGATCTCTGTCCCTTCTGGTATCCCGGGGCCGATCCCTCTCACGATCCCGCTCTCGTTCTCGGGGTCTGCTTCTTCGGCCGCTGACAACTGCTTGTGTCCGACGTAGAAAGTCATCTACCCTCATGTCATAATCATGCTGTAGGAGACAGAAATGTTTGTATAGATCACCTAATGTTAAAAAGCTACAAAGCACAGGTAAGGCTGCTGGTCACTATAGCTTTATGCTGCCTCCAAGATCAGGGGTAGTATGCCTCTTGAATGCCAGTCACTAGGCAATGCTGCAGGACAGGTTATTGCTCTCAAATGCTGCTTAAGGGCTTCTCGTAGATATCTGGTTGGCCACTGTGACAAGCACGATGCTGGCCTAGACAGACCTTTGGACTGACCCACCAGAGCTCTGATGTTATTATGGACCCGGAGGCCTCAACCCTCAAACATTCCTTATAAAGGTAAAGGGACCCCTGACCATTAGGTCCAGTCGTGGCCGACACTGGGGTTGCAGCGCTCATCTCGCTTTATTGGCCGAAGGAGCCGGCGTACAGCTTCCGGGTCACATGGCCAGTATGACTAAGCTGCTTCTGGCAAACCAGAGCAGCGCACGGAAACGCCGTTTACCTTCCCGCCGGAGCGGTACCTATTTATCTACTTGCACTTTGATGTGCTTTCGAACTGCTAGGTTGGCAGGAGCAGGGACCGAGCAATGGGAGTTCACCCCATCACGGGGATTTGAACCGCTGACCTTCGGATCAGCAAGTCCTAGGCTCTGTGGTTTAACTCACAGCACCACCCGCGTCCCTTTTTAACATTCCTTATGCTAATCTTTAAAAGAAGGTTCAAAACAAATCGCAAATGAAAACGGGCTTTGCATTCAAACACAGTGGTACTTCGGTTCCGAAGCGTTTGTCAACGGAGACGTTCGAGAACCGAGGTACCACTGTATCTGGATTCAACACGCACCTGGAGCGTAGTTTCTCTTTTGAAAGGGAAAACTCAAACCACATACAATACTTCTTGCAAGTCTTCCAAGTCTTCAACAACTGAGACTCTCAAGGCTCAAACTAACTTGGGAGCACATGCAAAAATATGCAAAGGGGTCGGTGATGGGCATGTGCAAAAGGAACAACTTTGTAAAACAACATCATAGGTTTTGCTCTCCTGTCTCGTGTGCCTGCATTCTACTACAGTGGTGCCCCGCAAGACGAATGCCTCGCAAGACGAAAAGCTCGCTAGACGAAAGGGTTTTCCGTTTTTTGAGTCGTTCCGCAAGACGAATTTCCCTATGGGCTTGCTTCGCAAGACGAAAGGTCTTGCGAGTTCGTTTCCTTTTTCTTAAAGCCGCTAAGCCGCTAATAGCCGCTAAGCCGCTAATAGCCGTGCTTCGCAAGACGAAAAAACCGCAAGACGAAGAGACTCGCAGAACGGATTAATTTCGTCTTGCGAGGCACCACTGTATTTATTTTGGCACAAGTGGCAGCTTTAAAATGTGCTCTCTGAAGGCTGGGACAGAACACGCACGGAACGTTTCAATGAACATAGAGGCCTGACACTTAAGACTGTATAAAGGTCTCTCGACAGCGCAAGATCTGCCCATGACCTTAACTGGCATGGTACCAGCGCTTCTGGGCATACTTACCACCCGCTTATCCCTGTATCGTGCATCGTGTGGAATGGGATGGTGCCCTGAGTAAGGAGGGTGAGCTTGTGGTGGAGGAGCATGGTGCTGGTAGTAAGGATGGTGGGGAGGCTGTTCCATACCCGGGTAAGGAGGCTAAAAAGAAAACGGTGTTATTCGCTTAAATTTCTCCTCCTTAGAACACAGTCGGCATCAAGGAACACTCAAATGCAACTGTAATAAGAAAGTGCTTCAAAGATTCAATGGCACTTTGAGTGTGGCACGCTAAAATACCTTATAGTGGTTAAAAACTAGCCCAAACTGTACACCTAACCCCACATTTCCACAACCAGACACAGGAGGAGGCTGCAGCGACTGAACAGTGTAATTTGTACAGGTACAAACATACTATGCACACGATTCTCTGTGTGGAAGGGGCGCCCGTACCTTGTGCAGAATTAAACTGGCAGGGGGGATATTCACCATGCCACTGTGGGCCATGTTCTGCAAGGTAAAATAAAAGGCTTCCAGAATGCTAGGGAGGATGAATGGGGTGAGGAACATCGCAATGCCAAAAACATGCTCTTAATGTTACAGTCAAAATCAATATGCATACATTTGCTTTGAACTGAATGCAAAAGCAGGTGGGAGGCTGGAGCCAAACGGATATTGTAGTTTGACACAAGTGTCCTGATACCAAACCTACCCAAGAACATTGAAATTCAATATTATTACATAGATCAGTAGTTTACAAACACTCGTGTCATGGACCACTTGAAAATCGCTGAGGGTTTTGCCAACCAATTAATGGTTTTTCTGCCTGTTGTAGCCACTGTAACATAGCTGTCAACCTTCCCCTTTTTTCAAGGGAAATCCTATTCAGAATAAGGGAATTTCCCTTTAAAAAAGGGAAACGTTGACAGCTATGCACTGTATCCCTGTGCTAGATGTTGTATGGTTGTGCTGTCTTCCATCTCCAACCACAAATCCAGACACACTGCAACAGTTTGGGAACTTCTGAGATTGAATGGTTCATTTACCTGGATACTATCTAAGTGTACTTTACAAGTGGGGCCTGCTGTGGTATATCATCCTTCCTAAAGAAATCTTGCCAGCCCTGGGTTCCATGCACCCCAAACAGACCACTCCAGTCTGCATTCTAGGTGCAGCTTCCCCACAACATTCAGTTTTCCTTTTGAAGAGGTCAGCTATTGGGTATGCCAAGTCATCTTTTAGCCTCCTTTGGTTTGTGCCCCCCCCCAATTGTAAGTAAAGGTAAAGGGACCCCTGACCAATAGGTCCAGTCATGACTGACTCTGGGGTTGCGGCGCTCATCTTGCTTTATTGGCCGAGGGAGCCAGCGTACAGCTTCCAGGTCATGTGGCCAGCATGACTAAGCCGCTTCTGGCGAACCAGAGCAGCGCACGGAAACGCCGTTTACCTTCCTGCCGGAGCGGTACCTATTTAGCTACTTGTACTTTGAAGTGCTTTTGAACTGCTAGGTTGGCAGGAGCTGGGACTGAGCAAAGGGAGCTCACCCCGTCGCAGGGATTCAAACCGCCGACCTTCTGATCGGTAAGCCCTAGGCTCTGTGGTTTAACCCACAGCGCCACCCGTGTCCCTCCCCCCAATTGTACTTCAACAGTATAAGGCTTGCAGATTTCCCTCTTTTTTCTGTGTCTTTGTTTCGCTACAACTTTGGTAGCCCCCCAACATCATTCTTTCATACTGCCTGCTCTTTTCCACCTGCGCTTCTTTTATACGTAGCTAATCTTTCTTGCATGGATTTAAGAGCACGACTCTACGCTTATATCCTGGCTTGCAGTGTTTCCTAGTGGCATGTGGTTGGACGCCATGAGAACAGAATGCTGGACTAGATGGGGTTTGGTCTGATTCAGCAGGAATCGCTTGTCATTTTTGGATCCCTAAGGAAGTTCATAAAAAATAAATGGAACTACCCTTATCATTCAATCAAATGCATTGTCAAAAGTAAAGTGCGTTTAAAAATACGAACCATTCCTTGCCAGGGTGGCGGCGGACCCATGCTGTGGAATTCTCTCACATAATCATTGTAGGACTGGAAAATAAACACATACAGGGAATGTCATAAACACAGGCAGCATTAAAGCACTTGCAGCTACAGCACACGAAAAGGCAGACGCTTACCCCATTTAGAAAGACGTCTCTCCGCACTCCTGAAAATCGTCTGTTGGGAATGAGATTTGTGAATTTAAACACAGTGCTAAGTTACCAAAGCATAAAATAAACAAAGACTAAATCATCTCTTACCTGTCTGCATCTTGGTATCTGGGATCCTTTATATAGCCTGTTTGAAACCAAGCAGCATTATATATCATATTTACCGCTATAGCAATACATAAACAGAAATTAGCATCTTTCCCACAAGCATGCACCTGCCTTGGCAAAGAGAGCAAGGAAAGGTAATTCTGCTGTTCGCAATGGTGGCTTCAACAATTTGTGTAAGGAGCTTTAAAATGTATCGAGTTTTTCTTTATAGCAGAATAGAGCAGACTCCAGTAATTATCTAGCTATTGGATAAAGAATGTAAAATCTGGTCATTTTAGCTACATGCCAAGATTTAATCTAAACATCAACAAAAGTACAATGTAGCCTGTTTTGAGGAGATTAAGACATACCTACATATTCACTCATATAATAGGACATTTATAACATTTTTGTCTCTGCTCTAAGCTAGGCCCCCCTACCATGTTCCAAGAAGGACACCACGATCTCCCACATTCCGTTAAGTCTTCCTATTCAAAATGAGCTTTAACTAGAGCCCTGATGCACCCTCAAAGCTTTATTTCAACCTTCACATTCTACACAAATTCAAGATTGTTAATACACAAATCTGTACGTTTGTGCAAATGTATTTGCATAACGAGATATTAACCTTGTCTTTGGTGAAACTCAGGGGGATAATCAATCCTTGGTTTCTTTCTGCTGTTATGAATATCATAATCCTCTGGTCGACGCCTACATAAATTAGACAATAATTAAACAATTGTTTGGAGCAACCTTAAAGTAAATACCTTCAGAAGGAACAGGAGGTAACCCAGGACGACTTTCTGGGAGGCTTCTGAAGTCCCAGGCAGCTGTGTGAGCCTTACCAAATTCACCGCTCAATCCTTTCTTGTGTCGATGTAAATATGCTTAACTGGCATTTTATGGTTGCAAAGAACATGAAATCCTTGACCCAGACATAACTCTTAATTCCAACCTATTTCTTTAGGGCTTACTCCCCGTTACACACAGAACTGTAGCCATAAACCTAATTTAACCCTACTTGTAACTTGTGCAATTGCTATATTGATGCTCGCCCTACAAGCACAGAGCCACACAATTTGGACGCATCTTACGGACGTGTTCCAAACCTCTAAATACTCTGCCTCACTTGGACTGATATCATTCGGACCTATCTCTCTCTTCCCCCCCCGCCCCCGCTTTACATACAAAGATTACTAGCCAGGAAGGATCTATACAATATGGCCTATTGCTATGTTCTCGAGATTAGAGCTAAGAGATTTTTCAAAATTCTTATTACTAGCTGAAATGGTTGTGCTTTCCGAAGAAGGTATTTTGCAGCTGCCAGCCTGGGTTTCTCCTTTGCTCACCACCAGCGGGTCACCGAATGCCCCCCCCCCAAACCCTTAAACACACCATCAAAAGGTGAAACAATTATACAGGCCAAAGGCAATGACCCCCTCCCTCCTCCCCAACTACCATTAAAGTATATTGCATTACCATTTTAAAAGCAAAGTATCACAATTCCGAGCAAACAAAGCAACTGTATGCACAGCAGAAATAGATTTAGAAAAAAAGAGCTGGTGTAAAGAATAAACATACCGCTTTCTTGTAGTTTGAGTGTGCACTTACGACCGGTATAATATATGATAGTAACAGTTCATATAGTAGTCCAACTACTGACTTTAAGCTGAAAGCCACATACATAAATGGAGGCCCTGGCAGGGTTGAGAAGGTGTGGTGGTGTTATAATGTATAGTTTGCAGTCCATTGCAAAACCTTCACTCGTAAATACTTTATTGCACTGGAAACCTCTCAGGCTTAACTTCAAAAGCCATCGCTGCTCAGTCCTCTTATGCCCAAAGAAAGGGGGGTGCTGCCAGGATTCCTCCTACCTACAGGTTACGGTGTCCTTTTTTTTTTTTTTTAAACAGCAAGGATATGGGGACTCGTTGGATATCTGTTACCTACCACAGGACGTTTCCACAAACAGGAAACTGCAACCGAAAAGGTTCCAGCCCAAACTACACAGTCTTTAGCGGAAAGGCTTTAGATTTATCAGAAAGCAAAGTGGCTACACAGGGGGGTCAGGGAATCGTGATGGATAGAAGGGCTTATATCAGTCCTTTGCAAAGACTTCTCCAATTCTGTAACAAGATATACCCCTCTTTTCTGGGGAATGTTGGCAAGTTCATAGAGCAGTGATCAATAATCGTGGCGATCCTCTAAAACCACTCTTAAGTCCACAGGTGCTGCCCGCATCTGGAAAGGTTGTGTACACAGACACAGCAACAGCCATTCTTTTTGGTTTGTTGCCGGGTCTCCAAGGCCACTTCCTCCCCCTTCGGAGAGAACCTACGGCTTCCAGAAGCTCAGCAAGATGTGAGAGAATATTTGGTAATGGGCTTAAGCCCAGCACGGTGATACAATTTGAGACAGTCCCAAACACGCTCTTCTTGAACAGCAAAATAACACAAATATTTTTATCCTCAAAATGAGGCGGTCATCTTCTGCAAAATTATAAGTGATCCTGATAAAAGTCCCATATTTTGACAAGGCTTATCCAGAGATTTACCTGAAAGAAAAGGCTTTTACAAGATATTAACACATTTTGGAACACACAGACTTGCTCTTCCTCCACCTAGCCTGCTCATGGTAAATCCGCTTACCTACACGGACAGATTATCTGCATTATCTGACCAAAGATCTAGTCTAAGCTAGGTTTACAAGAACGTATTTTCTGCATGAGCCAAAGGTCCCCGTTTTCCTCTTGAAAGTGACCAACGGGGGGAGGGGGGACAGTGTGAAATCCTCAATGAAGCCACAAACCCGTCCATGCAGCTTGATGTGAGGATTTTCTCTCTTCTTGATTGCAGGGAAAGCTTTTTGAAGAATCACATTCCTCCATCACGTAATTCTGACACATGTGCCTATTATCAGTCCAAAGAACGTTTCTAACCTTCCCACGTCTCGGAGTGGCTCTCGGCGGGACGGCCGTCCTCTTGACCGGGGCTGAGAATGCATTCTTCTCTTGTGCCGCATTTTATGAATGACTTGATACAAGTCAATACTTTCATCGGGAGGGAATAGGAGACAAAGCTGGGTTCCGCATTCGGGCTCAATTTCCTGGAACAGTTAAACGCTCGTTTTACAAGGTGAACTCTGAATGAATCCAAATTTCCCAAAGACAGCTTCTGCAGCCAACCAGATGGACACAACGAAGCATAACGCTCAATGACATGTTTTTGCTGATTTCTACGAGAAAGTTATACTAGAAACAGCTATAAATACCAACAGAGGGATTTCTAGAAAAATGTTACAGCGTAAGTAAGAAAGAGTTGCATCACATACCTTGCGCAACCAACATGTGTAGCCCAGAATCATGGATCAAAAGCTCACCGGCACAAACAAATAGATTAGGTAAATTTGTTTTTACGGAATTTTAGGACATATGCTGCCCATGAAGCAACGAAGAGTGCATATCTTTATTTTGTTAGCTATCAAAAACTGTATTTGCAGCATGCTAAATAGTGTTACAGCTATCTTTTTAAAAAGCACACTGAGATTGCAAATACCCATGCAAGGTGAAGGAAGTCATAAGTTTATGTGGGCTGCTTTTTCACAAGACCCTACTCTCCCAGTTAGTATAGCAGGAGAACAAGCCCATATTTCTCCCTCACAATGAACCCATTTTAGAGACTTGAGAATGGTGGGAGTCACAGTTCATCTAGATTCAAGGCTGCTTTTGGCAGAAAGTAGCCTAACAGTAGCTTTAATAAAGAATGGACTACACTTCAAGATGCTTCAAAATAAGATATTTTGTTGTGACTTTTTTCTAAGAGGTTACTGTTCATCACTGGTCTAGGATCTCTTTTTGCTCGGATTAATGGTGGCTGTCTTTCAAATGTGGACAACTATCAAATAAATAAATAAGAACAAATGCATTCCAAAATTTTAACTACTGGCCTTAAGATACCGAAGAGGAATAATTATCACAAATGACAAACCTGTCCATCACGTCCAATCTTTACTGGCTTATGCTCATTCCAAGGATTGGTCAGGTGAGCAGATTTCGTGAATGGCAACTCACGCCTAAATGTACAAGTGACATGTAATACATTTTGTGTATTTGGCATTTAAATTAAATCTTATACAAGGATGCTTTTACGGACTATAACTTGAACATTAAAAAGAAAACAGAAAACCAGGAAGATGAGCATTCTGAAATGGCAGATATAAATATTATCAAAGTGCAGCTTGGAAAACCAACTGAGTTAGGTTCATAATGCTCACCTTAGTATGAAGCAAGCATGACAACACTGTAAGTTCTCTTCCAGAAGGAAACTTAAGCCTTGCCTTTGCATCCCACCCACCCACACTGTTTTGACATTCTGGCAGCGTTCTTAACACCTAGAATGCTGCTATTACTTTCTAGGAAGTAAACAAACTATGAAAGCACTACTGGAAAAAATGTGGACTTCCAGTACAGTAGTAATGCTGGGAAGATGTTCAAAAGGATTGTTATCTTCACAGATTGAGAAACTCTTCTCTCTCTCTCGATTTAAAATTAAGCCTTGGGGAAACTCACCCATCACTATTCTGAACATTTCAGGTAAGTGATGACAAAAACCAAGCTTGACATTCATAATATAGAATATGTGTTTCATGAGAAGTTTGATTATTTTCAAAGACAACAGAAAACCAATGCAAAACAAAAAACTAGACTTCAATGACAGGGTTGGGGATGTGAAGAATGCATCTTTTGCAGCTCAACCTCTGGTTTCCCAACTTCATAGACTACTAGTCTGAAAGTCAGTATCTTGAGTGTCAATTTCTGACGACATCCTACTGCAGCAGATAGAGGGTCCCTATTCCCATCCTATACTTCAATGTCTCAAAATCCATGCATTAGAGGCAGCTATCAAGAGCCTTACATAATCAGTTGGGGGAGCACAGAATGCTAATAATGGCAGGCCTGTGTATGTGTTCTCTCTCTTTCTCTCTCTCTCTCTCTCTCTCTCACTCTCTCTCTCTCTCTCTCTCTCTCTCTCTCTCACACACACACACACACACACTTGCAAGACCATAGGACTGAATTTAAGGCAATAATTTGCCACCTATGAAGATGATGGTTAATAACAAACTCTCTGAAGCATGGCAAAAATAAAAGACAAAAGATACCCTATTCATGGTAGGGCAAAAATATCCCTTCCACTAAGACGAAAGTCTTTTAGAATCATAGTGTTGGAAGGGACCATGAGGATAATCTAGTCCAATGCTCTGCAATGCAGGAAACTTTTGCCCAACGTGGGGATCAAACCCACAACCCTGAGATTAAGAGTCTCATGCTCTACCAACTGAGCTATCTGCGAACTATCTCCAGACTATGCAAATGGGTGGTAATCTATTGTTCCAGCAAATGAATCATGTCTATTTTGAGGATACACTTTGCGAACCTACTCAGAATATCCAAAAGCAAACATTACGAACCAGAAATTTCACATTTTAACCCTTTTACCTGCATATCCAATCTATCTTAAATACGCCTCCCAGCATTTTTGCGCTCATTCCTGCAGGTAGCACCCAGTGTATGGGAGATCCCCCGTGATGGGATTCAGAAGCCAGCCTTGCAAATCCTGAAAGAATCAGAACACTGCAATGAGACGACATAACCCGAACAACTTTGGGTTAATGTTGAGTGCAGGCATTCCCTCTTCTTTACCTTGGAATTTCCCACTCTCTCTCACAGAAAATATCAAGATAACACTCCTCGCTTGTCTGAAGGCAGCATTGAGCTTCTTCTCATTGACTGGGAGGGTTGACCAGACACCCTGCAGAGAGATGAGCAGACACATAATTTATAAAACCCAAACTGTTCAATGGATGCATCAGGGACACCTTGCTCAGTGCTAGAACACATGCTGGACATGCACCAGGTCCCAGGTTCAGTCCTTGTAATCTCCAGTTAAAAGATGGGACAGCTGAGAAAGATCTCTAACTGAGGTACGACCACTACAGGCAAGCCAGTATGACTGATACAGCTTCGTATTTCATAAATGCTCACATACCCAACAAAAGCTTGGGGAGGACCAGGAAAATCATAATCCATTAAGTTCAAAGCATTATGGAAAGCATTAAACAGTAAAAACAAAGCATTAACCCAGAATTTGTTGTTCCCCTTTCTTTCTGCAAGGCTCCCAGCAGATTCAAAGTAACAGAGATACAGTTGGTGAGATGCTAACTAATTCTATTTCTCTGTGACAGGGTTGAGGTAAGAGAACTAATTAAAGGCTTGATAATTAAAGAACAATTGCCCCTAAAAGAACAATTGCCCCTATTCCGTATTCTGCAATCAGAGCTTTATCTTCATAATGAAAGTAGTCTGTAAGTGCAATGTGGCATACCTTAGCTTTGGCAAGTGAGACGTTTTCGTGGTTGTTACTTTTGATAAGAAAAAATCTTGCATCTTGGAGAATGTATTTAAGTTTGCTAGTTTGGTCTGGGGGTGGAAACAAAGCAAAATGTAATTTTATTGGCATTTCCCTCTGCACCTCCTAAGTAAACACACAACACATATTTATAGCCCCTTTGTGGGACAAGCCCTTTTATATTGTGGTATAACTATTCTTCACTTCAGATGGGCTTATATTGGTCTCCTGCACAAATTCCATTTTAATATATTGAAGCTATGTGACCAAATTTTGAGGAATTGTGCTGCAGGTCAGTAGCTGAATACCACATATTTCAGACTTGAAATCTGTGTCATAGCATGCAATGCTAAGCGTAGAAAGCAAAATAAGCTATTTCAAGTAAAAAGCCAATGCAACATCAGTAATGTTCCGATATGTTTGCTTCCTGGTTATTGGAGTAAAATACATTCTTGAATGAAGAACCTATGAAAATTTATCTTTCAAACAGCACCATTTCATTACTTCTTTGCTTGCCAATTCAGCAACAAGATATATATTTGCCACTATGAAGATGCATGCAAGAAGTAATTTGAGAGGCAATACAATTTGCTCACTTGAGTTAGTTCCACTATACATCGGAACATTACCACATTTGATGTATGTTAACAAAGACTTGACACAAGAGCTTGCAATGGGAGCATGCATTAAAAAATTCGAATTTAAATTATACCTTTTTGGACAGCACGAACGGAAGATGATAATTTCTCATGCTTCTTTTCTGAACCTGTGTTTAGCCAAAGTACATTTGTTCAGATTGAGCCTTAATAGAGATACGATATAAATTCTACAGCCTTTTCACATACTATTTTCATTCATGACAAATTATTCCTCCTGACGCGCACCCACACACACACAAAGAATGCTGCTCAATGTGCACGAGGGTTTGTTTTGGATTTTTGGGTTGTTTCATTTTGTTTGTTTGTTTTGGTGGACCAGTTTTCTCTTCAGAAAACTAGTCAATGAATCATCATCTTCCAAGTTTTAAAAAGTGAAAATTCCACTTAAGCAACAAAATAGCATTAACATAACAAGAAAACCTACTTCCCCAAATTATTCACACAGAACATGCCAAAATACCAATTTTCACTATTTAGCTACATGTCCAATAGGTTTCTATGGCCCACTATTTATTTTGGAAAATGCAGTTCAAGGGTTTTGCTACAGATCATTTCAGTAAGATAAGCAATAACATAATAATACCTGCATATGACTCTGATGCAGAGCTTCCACTTCTATCAAAAACAATCGGAGAGATGCCTCTAGCTCTTTTTCTCGCCTTCTTTTTTTCATCTAAGACCATCAAAAGAAGCAACAGCAGTACTTTTAAGGCCGACACCAAAAACTTTATCAGGAATGATTGCAAAAAGGTCAATACAGTTTACATTAGCTAAATGCATATTTGGTTCTCAACATTCAGAACTATCATCTCATTGGCCCTTCATTCTTTAGTCAGGATCCAAAGATCCATGGAGTCGTTTTGCAGAGCTCAAGGGAGCTTTAAACTTTTTTGCCTTGAACAGTAATATTCCACATTACATGGAAAGCTGCTTTTGAAACACACAGAAATTGCAAAAGCAGTTTCTGATACGGTATGGTGTGCACACGTGTGTACGAGTGTGAGGTCTTCACAAAGTCAAGGAATCGACTGGTACAGATCAATCCTCCTACTGGAGCCCCAGTATGCCCCTGGACCACAACGTTTATGCACATTATTAGGAATACAGCAAACACATCCCCCTAAAGCTTGATTTATACATTGCCAGGTATGCACGCTTGCCTCTTCTGCACACCATGGATGTGAACCTACTTCTGGATAACAGACTCGCTTAAGGAGTCTGTGCCAGACTCCCAATGAGGTGTAATGCTGATTGGGGTGTTTGCCATGTTATTCAAATGATCTAGCCATGTGACACGACAACCACATCACATTGACAATACTATTCCAAAGCTTCTGAAATGGAACTGTCCCTGTCACGAGACTTCGGACAGTAGGGGCACCAAAATATAAAGGCGGAGTTGGGAGGGACATTGCTTAAATAAAATGTGAACAATAATAAATTAACAGAACGTAAGTATTTGACTAGAAGTTTGAAATTCAGCTAAACCTCAGCTGCTTTTGCTCTGATTTGTTTCTTTCCAGGTTTTTTTAAACCAGAATGTGCCAAATAGCTTTATATACTGCTGGAAACACTAATGTTTCTTCAGTTAATCTACTCTTTTAAAAAAATGTTTTTAAAAAATCAATTATTTCACCACAGAAATACACCCAGACCAGCCATTCTCAACTTAGGGTTCCTGGATGTTGTTGGACTACCACTCCCATCATCCCTTGCTGGCTATGGATTATGAGAGTTGTAGTCCAACAACATCTAGGGACCCAAGACTGAGAAAGGCTAACCTAGACTGGTATTACAAACACTGGTCCATAGAATTATTAATGTTGAAATGTAAGTTGAACCTGTGAGACACACTGGTTTGAAGATCTTTTCTCATCCCCATGAAAGAGGCCTCTAAAAGAATGTAACGTAAAGTACACTGCCAGAAAACTCATCTTATGTTTCCACTTCCATTCCTCACAGCCTCTGGCCAAGAGACCAGCACTATGAAGGAAACTGCTTAGACACTAATGAGCACCAGAGCATAGGAAGAGCTCTGCCGGATGAGACCAAGGACCCATCTAGTCCAGCACTGTTCTCAGTGGCCATAGGAAGCCCTTTGGACAAAAATGAACACTTTGCTGCTGTGCTATCCTTACTGGTGGTGCTCTTCCGACACCAGGAAATCACACCAGAGCCAATCATCTGTGGTACGATTTAGAAATAAATAACTGAATATGACAAGACCCAGAGCAGAAAGAAATTATATCAGCTACCTGATATATCCGAGCCTGAACCAGATCGGACTGACCCATCAGTAAAGGATGCAGATTCAGATTCAGAATCACTAGCTTCGCTTCGTGTGTCGTAATCATTTCCCTCCTTCTGATCCCTTTCATCTTGATCATAATCCTCTTCTTCATCATCTCCCTCTTCTTCCACTTCTTCCTCCTCCTCCCCGTCATCGTCTTCCTCCTCTTCTTCTTCCTCCATCCCCTCCTCCTCCTCCTCCTCCTCATTCTCTGTGTTTCCTGGGTCAGAGGATCCGCTACTGCCTGTTTCATGATCCGACCCGTACTCCTCGGAGTTCACCTCTTCTTTTGAGGAGTGACTGGACCTGCTTGGCTGTCTGTCCACCTCAAGCCTTAGCCTCTGTTTAAATGAGAATAAAACAAACGCCTTACATGTCAGGATGCACAGAGAGTTCGGAGCAAGCACCTTAAAGAACTGGTGTATTTAATGACTGCAAAAGCCGCTGCTTACCCCAGAGGTATCTGGAGTGGAAGACTTTGCCCTTCTGTCAGCATCTCTTTTCCTCATGCACGCCTTCTCAGGCTGCCCTTTGTAGGTGTCTCTCGAGCTGCTGCTTGTCATACGCATCTTTCTGTCACCTTCTGGGCGCTTGCTCCTATCAGACCTTTGATACTCCTCATTCTTATATTCCAATACTGGCTTTCCTTTCGTGCTCACTATTCGCTTGTTGTTGCTAACGGATGAGCTTGGAGGTTTGGGTAACAACTGCCTCGAGGAATGCACAGAAGGCTTCTGCTTTTTGCTCTCAGCTGTCTCCATCCTCTCACTTTTCCTTTTGGATCCTGAATTTTTTTTTTAGAAAAGCACCAACAAATTTTGAAATCAGCATTTCATAGTTACTTGATAGCATTAACAAAACGCTGCTAAAGCTATCTTCAGAAAACATGATGAGCAAACCTTTTTCACATTTAGCATGAGACAAAGCACATAAAGCTAGTAGGTTTAAAACCGGGATGTTGTGTTAACTAAACTGCCGCCTTGGAAATCCTAGTATCTCTCACTATTTAAAGATGAGAAAACTGATGACCAATGGCTGGAATGACTTAAAAGACCAAAACACAACTTAGGACAGCCCTTCCAAACCCTAGTGTAGTATCATTCCAAATGTTACTGGACTCACAACTCCAACTGGGCCCAGCCAGTATGGCCAATGGTCAGGGATTATGGGAGTTTCATTCCAATAGCATGTGAAGGGCGCCAGGCTGTGGAAAGTTGACTTGGGAAATAAGCTGAAATAGAACCTTGCTTCTGGCTTCCTCAGGAGAAAGACAGCTCCCTATGTATTTCTATAGCCAAGGAGCCAAGATTACATGCTTGAGGAAGGAAAACTATTTCAACTTGTTAATATTTCATAAGCAATGACAGTACTTGCTTTTTACCAAACTATACTGTTTTGTACAGGGCTTGCCGATCGAAAGGTCGGCAGTTCGAATCCCCGCGGCGGGGTGCGCTCCCGCTGCTCGGTCACAGCGCCTGCCAACCTAGCAGTTTGAAAGCACCCCCGGGTGCAAGTAGATAAATAGGGACCACATACTAGCGGGAAGGCAAACAGTGTTTCCGTGTGCGGCTCTGGCTCGCCAGAGCAGCGATGTCACGCTGGCCACGTGACCCGGAAGTGTCTCCGGACAGCACTGGCCCCCGGCCTCTAGAGTGAGATGGGCGCACAACCCTAGAGTCTGTCAAGACTGGCCCGTACGGGCAGGGGTACCTTTACCTTACTGTTTTGTTTGGGATGCCATATTCCACAAAGGATCTTAAAGCCTTTAAAAACATTCAGATATGAAAACTACAACCAAGGTATCGGCACAGCAAGTTCTTTGCACATATGTGACATGTAATATTTTACTTTAATAGCTCACATTGCCTTTGAAAAAAATCAAATGTGGTAGGGAGATAAGGATACTTCAAAAGGAATTTGTAATGCAGAGCAAAGAACTCTTAGGAAAAAGAGGGGCTGCCCAGTGGGCATGCACAAGTCTCTGTGCACCCTGGCAGTAGCCCTCAAGCTGGTTGGCTGGTCGTGCTGTCCACCTTTTCAAAAGGGCACCCAACTAGTAAAGAAGCATACCCTTTTTCTCACTTTTATCTTGCTCACTGTCAGGGTTATACAGTTCATCATCATGATCAGGTGCATCAGTCAATATATCATCCAGAACATTCAGTTCGCCATCTGTAAACAAAACACAAGGTTAAGAAATGGCATTCAGAAGAGCTGCACCGTTTGCTTTAATGGTATTAGAATAGGGGAATTAGAACCACAAAGTTCTAGAGTTGGAAGGGACCACAAGGATCATCTAGTCCAACCCGCTGCAATGCTCTTACCAAGTGAGCTGTTAAAATGGTTTAAAGTGATACTAAAATCCAATACCCACACATTTTCTTTCAGCACTTACATCTGCCCACCCATTTCCAAGCTTTTCTAAAATTAAGAGTGAAAACTGAATAGCAAGGCAGTTTTCCACAAGACTAATTTGGATAGCTGCCAATCAAAACTGTTTAAATTGAGGAGAAGCAAGATATGGGTGAACTCCCTACTACAGGTTTAACCAAATTCACTGACAAACCTCTCATCTATCTTTCAGTTGCATTAATCCCTAAACTACATAAGGGACAATTGACCTGGTAAACCTTATAGGCTTGCTTTAGACCAGGGGTCGGCAACCTAAGGCCCATGGGCCACAAGCAGCCCACGGGGGTCGTTTAACTGACCCAGGAGCCACCCCCGAACTGAGCTGCCCGCTTGGCGAGTCCCCATGCGCTGCACTAAACCAGTGCAGCACGACGCGGGGACTTGCTTCCGCAACCCTGGAAATCGCATCTGCGCAGACGCCAGAAATCACAGGCATGCAAAATCTGGCCCACGGTAGGATCTCCGCTGGAGTGAACCGGCCCAGGCGAGGTAAACCTTGCCAACCCCTGCTTTAGACCTTAATCGAGACATTAAAATGTTTAATGCAATTATGGCAATTAGATTAGTATGTTAACTGCAACCTTTATTCACACCAGTCAGTTGAGATTTCTTCCTGACCACAGACTGGGCCATAATTAGACAAACATGGACTATCAAAGAAGGCATAGAGGCTAGGATGTGTCTGCACTGATTTTACTCTCATGAAATTTCATAGGTAAGGAACAGCCTCCTCAAAAAAACCTGTGATCCTTCACAGGTTTGCGGAGCCATTCATCCTAGAGCTGTGTACCGTCATACCTCGGGTTGAATGTGCTTCATGTTGAGCGCGTTCGAGTTGCGCTCGCGCATGCACAGACGCTCAAAATGACATCACACGTATGTGCAGAAGCGGCGAAAAGCGACGCGTGCATGCGCAGACGTGCCGTCGCTAGTTACGTTTGCTTCTGGGTGCGAATGGGGCTCCAGAACGGATCCTGTTCGCATCCCAAGGCACCACTGTATTTTAAAGAGCTAGATTTTATATCTATCATTCACTACTAGAAAAAGTACCGTATTTTTCGCTCTATAACACGCAGTTTTTTCCTCCTGGAAAGTAAGGGGAAATGTCTGTGCGTGTTATGGAGCGAATGCCTACAGATGGCAGGGGAATCCGCTGCAGTTGTGAGCAGTCCGTGGCTCTCTTTGAAACTGCAAAGCGGGTGTAAGCGGCTCCTGTCAGCGAGCCGAGCTGGGCAGGAGGGAGAGAAGCAGAGCGGGGTTGGTTGCTTTAAAACAACCCCGTGCTCTATGTCCCTCTCTCTTCTCCACTGAGCTGCTAAGTAGCAGCAAAGCTTTTCAGCCAGCCTAGCCGGGAGGAGGGAGAGAAGCAGATCGGGGCTGGTTGCTTTAAAACAACCCCGTGTCCCTGCCTGCAGTTTTTTGCTGTCCGATTTTGGATCAGCCACTGTAGGGGCTGTGTGTGTGTGTGTGCTTGAGCTATCGTTCTCCTCCTCCTCCTTCCTGTTCACTCTCACAGCGCCCCAGCGCTCTCCTGCAACTTTAGGAGTGATACTTTGTGTGTCTCTCTGTGTGTGAGGCATCGTTCTCCTTCTCTTGCTTCCCCTTCACTCTCCCAGCGCCCCTGCTACTTCCAGCGCCCCGGCGACTTTAGGATTGATACTCTGTGTGTGTGTGTGTCTCTGTGTGTGAGGCATCGTTCTCCTCTTGCTTCCCTTTCCTCGCTTTAGGATTGAATACTGGTGTGTGTGTGAGAGAGGGCGGGGGGATCGTTCTCCTTCTCTTGCTTCCACTCCCAGCGCCCCTGCCTCTCCTGCGACTTTAGGGATTGATACTGTGTGGTGTGTGTCTGTGTGTGTGTAGGCATCGTTCTCCTCTTGCTTCCCCTTCACTCTCCCAGCGCCCCTGCGCTTCCTGCGACTTTAGGATTGATACTCTGTGTGTGTGTGTGTCTCTGTGTGAAGGGGATTGTTCTCTCCTCCTGCTTCCTGTTCACTCCCCAGCGCCCCTGCGACTTTAGGGCACTTTAGCATGGATCCACATGGGATCCTCAGGATTTTTGCATTGGGCTACCCCAAACTCACCGTCAGATCACATGTCTGTGGCCACAGCATGAACCACAAAATCATACATCCACTGTTTTGTTTAGAATATTTTTTTCTTGTTTTCCTCCTCTAAAAACTACGTGTGTGTTATGGTCTGGTGCGTGTTATAGAGCGAAAAATACGGTAATAATATTTTGGGGGAATCTGACAGGGATGCCCCATACTTCTTGTAGTATTTGCTATATTTAGTCACAGAGCAGTGATTCCAATAAGGGCAGGCTATATGGTACCTAGGCCACCTTTCCTGAAAATACAGCCAGGTGGAATGGTCCTTGAAGAACAAGTTCTGTAAAGGGAGGAGTCAAACAGTTGAGGGCACCTCCCCCTTCTGGCTAACCTCTTCTTCTCAGGCATCCAAGTGTAATTAAAGCTTGTAAAAATATGGACTAGGATCCCAACAACTGGTGCACATAGATTTTTACTTTTCCGTTTTTAGAATTATAATCATAATTATTTTATTTATACCCCACCCACCTGGCTGGGTTTCCCCAGCCACTCTGGGCGGCTTACAGCATATCCAAAAACAATAAAAAACATAATCAGACCCCCTACTGTCATATCATGAGCACCTTTTCAAACTTCCTTCAATGTTGAAAGTGGTTTGGCATGCAACAGGAGGGACTGCAATTCCTGAAATTTCCATTTCAGGCAATCATTTTACTTTAAGATGAACCACAGCAAGAATTTGTTTCATAATTCTATCTCCTTGAGCAGTTGTGATTTGTTTTAACAAATCATGTGTAGACTAGTACAAAGCCACTACTAACTACAGACAAACATTATTAAATTTAATTATCTACAATCAAATTCAAAGAGGTTTCCAAAGATTCAACTACAGTTAACGTGGTGTACAAAACTCCATTAAAAATGGAGCTGCCTTGAAAAATCAGTTGCATTTCTCTTTTTTATTTCATCTGGCTTCTCTGAACTCTTCGGTTTTCAATAGCTTCTCAATTATTTCTCAATGATACAGGTATACAGACTAAAACCTACTCCAGACAATATTAAACTAATGGCAACTGTTGGGGGTGGGGTATGGCTGGGACCCTCAATCCAATGGTCTCTTGAAACTCAGATCTATTGAGGGGGAGAAAGTATTTTCAAATTGAAAATAATTCATTGCCTTGAGGCATTCCTGGTTTACTCACCACGTCTAAGTGCCAACAATCTTAAATTTGGACCTAACTTAACACCACTCCTATTTTAACGTACTTCACAGGAATTTGTTTTTGATGATGACTTTGGAAGGTTCAGCTAGTGCCAGAGACCTGCAGCCTTCTGGATATGAGACATCAGGAGCAAATTGCATTTGTCTTCCATTATCTGCACTTGCCCTATCTTGACTTCTGCGCAAAACACCCCTTAAGTGTTGGAGTCCTGAATGACCAGAGCTCCATTTATCTCCCGCCACCACTGTGTTTCATTAACAATGCATACCATCTACACATTAGACATAGGACTGCAAGGAAGCACAGTCTCTTATTGGAAGACTGCCCAAGTCCAAGAGTCTCTTGGAGGTGACTTTGTTAATTAAACCACCAAACATCTTGTAGTATACAGCTCTAGTTTTTGTGTCTGTACACATTCTTCTTCTTCTTCAAACACCCTAATGCTTTTAGGATGACAGGGCATCCCAAACATTTTTTCTGAGCACCGGTTCTGTTCTTGAACAGTGCACAGTGGTACCTCGGGTTACATACGCTTCAGGTTACAGACTCTGCTAACCCAGAAATAGTACCTCAGGTTAAGAAGTTTGCTTCAGGATGAGAACAGAAATCACGCTCCGGCGGCGCGGCGGCAGCAGGAGGCCCCATTAGCTAAAGTGGTGCTTCAGGTTAAGAACGGACCTCCGGAACGAATTAAGTACTTAACCCGAGGTACCACTGTTTTTTACTGGTGTGCCATTTAGATAAAAAATCTGTAGCAGTTTATCTTAAACAAGCAACTGTTATCTACTAGAGTAATTGCCAATAAAATTAATTACTGCATACAATACCCTAACCTATATTTTGGAAAAGGCCCAAAGGAGGATGGCTTATGACCAGCTCAGGACCTTTCCTTGTTGTGCTTACAGGAGCCTCTTAGATACAACTGCAAAGACATAACAACAGAGCTATGGAGATGTGGTAGATCTCAAATACCTGACATAAATATTTGGTGGAATGTCCATGATACTTACTACTCCTCTAAACACATAGTGCCCCAGTATGCAGCTGGTAGATATACTATCGCTCCGTTTGCTTCGTACTCATCAATATATTTCTACATGAACCAGGCCATGCAAGACAAAATTCCCTTCAGCACACACAATGCAGAACTGCTGCAGTCACTGCTCTGCAGTCATATTGCTCCTATTAGATGCAAAAAGCAAGCTTTTAATAGAAGCTGTCCCTCTTGTTTCAACAGGATTTCTAAAGCTAATCTATTTAGGAAACAAGTATGTACATAAACAATACATAATTATGCCAGTGGTCAAGCTGCATAGTTAAACATGGTCAAAAGAATGTAATAACCGGCTGGATCAGGCAAACGTCTCACCTAGCCCAGCACAGCTCAGTAGAGCAAGAGATTCTCAGGGTCGTGGCTTGAAGACACGCATTGAGCACAAGATTCCTGCATTGCAGTGGGTTGGACTAAATGACCCTTGTGGTCCCTTCCAACTCTGTGAAAATCCCATTATCACAGTGTTTAAAGAAATGGCGATACAAAGTCCATAAGCAGAACTCACAACACTGCTCTCCTCACTTGTTATTCCCAGCAACTGGTATTCAGAGGCGCATAGTCTAATCCTCTTTTAAAACCATCCAAGTATTAGTTCAGCCCTCTTGTAAGGTAAGCCTGCTTCACCATATTATTGTCCACCCTGTCTTCTATATTTGTAAGCAGCTCAATGGTACCCAGATTTACTAAGAGGTCCTGTCAGACTTTACATCATTTAAATCAAACCTTGTATGCTTCAAATTGCAGCCTTCACCTCTAACCTAAGATACCTTCTTGCTCGCCACATTTCCTCCACTGTTTTATCTTATTCTGTAATGCAGTTTGAATAAATGCTGAATAGCACAGTAACATGAACCTAATCTCTAACACAGGCAAACAAAAAGCTTCAAGCGCTGCAGAGCTGTACTTCATCTCATGACATGGGAATAACACAGATCAGCTGTTTTATTGTTTTGCTTTTACACCAACTAGAAGGGAAACACGCAAATATAGTCAGCATCAGCTGAATGAGTGGAGGGGGTCACTAGTATAATATCCCTGCCTAAGAGCTGTGTATATATATGAAAAAACAGAAAGCTAGTTTAACATAGCGGCCAAGTGTGTGAACTTTATAATATAGCCAAGATACTTTTGGCTCAAACGTAAGGCCAACCAAGAACTTACTGGCTGGTCTTAGGTACACTATTATCCTCTCATCCTCAGAATCTCATCTGCATTAGGAAAACGGAAGTGGTCCATCTTACAAGGCAGTTATAAGTCTTACTGAGATGTTATCGGAACACAGCAGAATTTTAACTTTAATTTCCAGGATTACTAACTAATATTCATGGAATTTGAGGGAGGAAGATGAAAGCAACCCGCCCAAACTAACTAGGAGACTGTTTAAAAATCAGGTTGATTTTTTTAAAAACAACATTATTTTAAAGCACAAACAGCCTGCAGACATTTTTTACCTGAAACCAATGGCTAGACTTCACCGTTGTTTAGGATGTTTCGCTGGAGGGTTTGTTGCTGTTATTAACATCAATTCTAATTTTTAGATATTAATATGATTTATACAGAATCTGCTCAGTCTGGTTGCATACTTTTTATATGTTTTATCTATTTTAACCAATTTTAAAAGGAAAGCTTAAAATGTTTCCTACTTGAGACCAATGGCTGGACTGCACCAATGGGATGGCATTTTTGTTGCGGGCTTGTTGCTTTAACTATCAAACAGCTTGACCTCAACCCCAAATACGCCCTCCTCCATTGTCTTCTGAGACAGACAGATGCCAACAACGACTGATATAACTTTTCCCCCTTTTTTAAAAAGATCTTGTTACAATTTATGTGGCAACTGTTTCAATCCGGTTGTGTACGCAAAACTTTTCATCTTGTAAGCTGCCTCCAGACTGGTTTTAACTATGGAAAGGTGGTGCAAGGGTTTGTGTGTCTGTGTGTTATTGGGTTGCTTTTATACTTTGATTATATATATTGCGGTTTTACATTTTGAATTTGTTCTGCAAACCGGTATATAAATTCAGTAAACAAATAAAATACCCCCAAAATGACGATGTGGGTGAGCAAGATTTCATTTTGGCCCCCTTAAAGCCCCAGCACCCACCCTACGCCTCCCCCTTGCTTTCCCAAGCCTGGCAACCAACAACGTTGCCTTTCCATCCAGCCCCCAACCTATGCGCCCCCCCCTTTCCCCAACGTGACCCCCAAAGGCTGAGAACCAATATTTCAAGGCCTATTAAACGGCCATCTCTTACCTTACTGCTCCCCGCACCGCCCCACTTTCCCAAACGTGACACCCCCCCCCCAAGGCTGAAGGCGAGTAACATTTCATTTCAAGGGAATTAAACCGCCGCCCCCCTGCCCACTTTTCCCGGGCTGGGGGCTGAAAGAGAACCAATATTTCAAGGCCTATTAAACGGCCATCCCTTACCTTACTGCCCCCCCCGCCGCCCTACTTTCCCAAACGTGACCCCCCCCAAGGCTGATGGCGAGTAGCATTTCATTTCAATGCAATTAAACCGCCGCCCCCCTACCCATTTTTCCCTGGGGGGGGGGGGAGAAAGAGGCAGCAGTAAGTCTTCCAAAAAGCCCCTCGCCCTCCTTCGTTAAGCCCCTCAGGCCTCTCCCCCCCCCCACATCCCCTGTGCCTTGGCCGCCCCCTCCCGCTACAGGCCCCCCCCCCAGCCCCGGTTGCCATGGCAACGAGCGGCCTAGGGATTGAGGGGAAAGGAAACACCCGGCGGTGGTACCTTTTTCCTCCCGGCTCTCGGCCGCCATCGTCCCCCCGGCGGAGGAAGGAGGAGGAGGAGAAGAACCGGCGTCGGCCTTCTCTGGAGGCGGAGGAGTATCGGGAGGCGAGGTGGGAGCGGCGCAGCCGAAGGACGCGAGGGAGGCAACGGGGTGGGCGATGGAGCCCCTTCAGGAGCTGCTCCCTTCAGGACGCCGAGCAAAATGGAGGCTCTTCCCCCCCCCTCGCGGCCCCGCCTCCTCCTCCTCCTGCCGAAAGCCCCGCCCCCTCCTTCCCGGCTTTATATACTTCCTACGCGACAATTCCCACAAGGCCCTACGGAGCCCCTTCGGCGCGTGGCGTCACAGGGCGCGGCGACGTTACGTCACGGCGTACGCTCTCTCTTCTCTCTCTCTCTCTCTCTCTCAATCTCGCGCGCGCAGCGTCACAGGACGCGGCGCCGTTACCTCACGGCGTACGCGCTCTTCTCTCTCTCGCGAGGGTGGGGTAAATGAAAAGATCACCATAGAGATAGAACGTAGAGACGCGAGTTGCAAAGGGTTCGAGGCCAGGTTCGAAGTCGCGTTCCGCCCTCACTTCCCCCAGGGCGTCCCGGGGCGCGGCGCCGTTACCTCATGGCGTACGAAAAACAACAACAACCCGAACACACCGTTAGAGCTACGAAAGTGTAGAGAGTGTCTACGGCTAGAGAAGTGACAAAGAGATCCGATAGATAGATATATGGATATCACCATAGAGCTAGAAAGTGTGGAGCGTGCGCGACCAGAAAGGAGTTTCAAGAGGACTGGAGGAAATTTAAGGACTATTTGGATAAATATTGTAATATAAAAAAATTAGAAATTACTTGAAAGAAACAAATAGGATTAAACTAAGTTATAATTAAATAAATGGGATTTAGAAGGTTAAGAAAAGTGAATAAGATGGATTATAATTGGAAATTGTTTTAGTTTAATAATGATATTGGAAAGCTGTTAGTTTTAACTACAAGGAAACTCAGAAGGGAGGGACTTGAGGAAGTCAACCAAGATGTTTAAAATACAGATAGGTAGCCGTGTTGGTCTGCCATAGTCAAAACAAATAAAATTCCTTCCAGTAGCACCTTAAAGACCAACTAAGTTAGTTCTTGGTATGAGCTTTCGTGTGCATGCACACTTCTTCAGATACATGACAATATGGGTCTCCTTTGTATCTGAAGAAGTGTGCATGCACACGAAAGCTCATACCAAGAACTAACTTACTTGGTCTTTAAGGTGCTACTGGAAGGATTTTTTTTTGTTTTGAAGATGTTTAAAAGGTTGGATTTGTGAATGATTAAGTTTGTTGTTATTGTTTATGTGTTTATTGTTCCTTTTTTCCTTTTTCTTTTTCTGTTTTTGTGTATTATTCTGCTTTGTGGTTTCTATTATCATTGTGGAAAATCTAATAATTTTTTTAAAAAAGAAAGAAAGTGTGGAACATGTATATAGAGCGATGGATAGCCTGGGAGTCTGAAATATACTCATTCGAGTCGCAAAGTGATTTCATGCTCTTTATTCAGCTCATAGTGGTGAGGAGGAATGAATGAAAGTCCCCTCCAAGTATCTGCTTTATATACATTATTTACACAATGGGCTGCAAGTGATTGGCTAATTCCGGAATTCTACTGTAAGCCAATCAGGTTGTGGATTCACTTCAATCTGGAGCATGATTGGGTGGTTCCTGCCAACCAATCATACTGCTGCATTATTCTAGGACCAATCAGACTGCTGCATTCTGAATCCTATTGTTCTAGGACCAATCAGACTGCTGCAGTTTGGATCCTATTCAACTCAGTACATAACAGAGTCAACTCCCCCAATAAAATATTTGAGGGGGCCGCTCCCCACTCCCAGCTGATGCACATTGGCATTCACATAGTGTGCGCACGCTGTGTCATGTGGTTGATGTGGAGCGGGGCTTACTTGAGGCCCCACTCCCACCCCAATATTTTAATTCACGTTGGCACCCCTGAGAGATCTTGGGAGAAAAGCAATGACAAACCTAGACAGCATCTTAAAAAGCAGAGACATCACCTTGCCGACAAAGGTCCCTATAGTTAAAGCTATGGTTTTACAAGTAGTGATGTATGGAAGTGAGAGCTGGACCTTAAAGAAGGCTGCTTGCCGAAGAATTGATGCTTTTGAAATATGGTGCTGGAGGAGACTCTTGAGAGTCCCATGGACTGCAAGAAGATCAAACCTCTCCATTCTGGGAAACAACAGAAAATACCGACAATGGAGGAATGGAGAGAGAAATTAATAGATTATGCGGAGCTAGATAGATTGACGGGGAAAATTAGATATTTTAGAGACCAAAGGTTCATAGAGGATTGGGGGAAATTCATGGAATATCTGGATAATATAAGTGAGGGACGATTAACGCTAGTAGGTTTTAAAAAAGCTCTGTGATATCAGTAAGAATATTGTCAAAAGAGAAATGGTAGAAAGGACTTAAATAATGTCAACAGATAGCAGTATATGCGAATTAGTGATGTATGGAAGTGAGAGCTGGAAGTGAGAGCTGGACCATAAAGAAGGCTGATCGCCGAAGAATTGATGCTTTTGAATTATGGTGCTGGAGGAGACTCTTGAGAGTCCCATGGACTGCAAGAAGATCAAACACATCCATTCTTAAGGAAATCAGCCCTGAGTGCTCACTGGAAGGACAGATCGTGAAGCTGAGGCTCCAGTACTTTGGCCACTGAATATTTTGGAAAGACTACGGAGGATTCGCGGAGAGGCTGAAGGAAGTTCTAAAGAATGAAATCGATGGAAATATGATGTAGACTGTTTAAGTGTTTTTTTGTTATGCTTTAAATGAATAAAAATCATGCATGGAAAACAAAAAAACAAAAACAAAAACAAACCTCTCCATTCTGAAGGAAATCAGCCCTGAGTGCTCCCTGGAAGGACAGATCCTGAAGCTGAGGCTCCAATACTTTGGCCAAAATACTTTATATTTGTAGGAAGTCGCTCACAGTTCTAGCTCTATGGTTCTAGCTCTCCATCTCTCTCAGGGGTTGTTGTTGTTTAGTCATTTAGTCATGTCCAACCATCTCGTCCTCTGTCATCCCCTTCTCCTTGTGCCCTCAGTCTTTCTCAACATCAGGGTCTTTTCTAAGGAGTCTTCTCTTCTCATGAGGTGGCCAAAGTCTTGGAGCCTCAGCTTCAGGATCTGTCCTTCCAGTGAGCACTCAGGGCTGATTTCCTTCAGAATGGAGAGGTTTGATCTTCTTGCAGTCCATGGGACTCTCAAGAGTCTCCTCCAGCACCATAATTCAAAAGCATCAATTCTTCGGCGATCAGCCTTCTTTATGGTCCAGCTTTCACTTCCATACATCACTACTGGGAAAACCATAGCTTTTACTATACGGACCTTTTAGCTACACCCAAGAGCTGTTGCTGCCTAGGAAATTCGCACAGTGCAGAATTCGGCGCTAGGTGGTGCTACAGCCACAGGCCCCGGTATAATGCGCCACAGTCGCTCTGGGAGGTTGACCTAAGTGAATGAGAAGCAACAGAAATGAGGAATGCAGGAAAAGGCGACTTTGGCTGCTCTGTCCCTACTTAACCCTTGCAATATCTTGCCCCTTGCAAAGTCTACCCATGCTTTCTCTACACCTGAAATCAACTATATATACAGCACAACCATTCTCCAGATATCCTGCCCCTTTCACTACCTTTTGGTAAACTTTCCCCCCCCCCGGTTATAAGGCAGTTTGACACAGTAAAAAAATGCAGTACCACTGTGATCCCAGCTGCTTGCCATCTTGCTTTGCCCAGAGGAAGCTATCCACATAAATGAGCACATGCAAACCTTATGCAAGTTCCTGTCCCAGAGCAGTGCCCTGAGTGCTTTAAGTACGTAGCTAGCAAGCGCCCAGCAAGCGCTAGATTTAATATTCCCTGGTTGGATGAAAAGGATTGGGAGAGCTGGCTGTGGGCGGTTGTATGCTGTTTGCTCTCACACAAAATCTCCATGTGCTCTTTCCCATAACATAGCCTTTAAACGTTAAATATCAGGAGTAAGCCAGCAATAAATCACGCCATGTCACTCGGAGTTAACTCTCTTTTTTTTAAAGCAAAAATGCAGTCTGCACAGGAGTGTCAGGCCTAAGGAGCACAGTTCCCTCCTCACCAGGGTGTCCCCCAAAAACAACAACTGGAGACTATGCCGGGATGCCTCTTTTGCTCCTCCCATTTCACGCCTCTTCTGGTTCTGGGGGACAAACAGGGAGGAGAGACACCCATGACTCTTTACCAGCCTGACTCATCTCTGCCCCTTGTCCTCTCTCCTCCTACCCCCCTGCTTCAACTTCTGCCTCTGATTCTGTACTTCACACCACTGCCACCGCATGTGGAGGATCCTCCGTTCGCTGTACGTACGCCGCACATGCGCTGTACATAGCGGTTTGCCACCAGCGCTGCTCGAGCGCTGTACAAACAGTGATGGGATCCCTCCATCGCCGCTACAGCCAAAAACGGAGGATCCTCCGTTTGCGGCTGCAGCTGTGAGCAGAGGATCCCGCCACTGTCTGTACGGCGCTGGAGCGGTGCTGCCAGCAAACCGCTATGTGCGGCACACGATGCCTTTGTCCGCCCCTGCTTCTGTGCCCATAGACCTCTTTACTAAGAACTACAAGGGCAACGCTGAGACTATCTAAGAAGGACGATAGCCAGGCAGGCAGGGTCTGGCTATGGGCAGAGTGAGGTTGGAATAATATAACTGTCGAGCCGCAAGGGGCCACGAGGGTCATCTAGTCCAACCCCCTACAATGCAAGAATATTTTTGCCCAATGTGCGGCTTCAACACACGACCCTGAGATTAAGAGTTTCATGCTCTACCATCCTCCAGTGCTTAACAATGGACTATTTGAGAACAAATGGTAATTATATGGGTGGGTGGGTGTGCCTTGAATACAGAACACATTACTGCCTCCCTTAGAACAGCTGGAACATGACCCTCTGTCACCAAGGTAGCAATTACATCTGTTGTCCAGACAGTCCCAGTTTAGCAGATTTAATCAGCCAGGATGGGGGGGGGAGAGATTGAGCAGGCACCTGGTCTGCTGCACCTCTTCAAGAATCCTGCCCAAATTCTCAAGCGGAACAATAAACTGGAACCCAAACTAGACTATACTAGTAATTATATCCTTTCGCTTTCATGCTTGGCTTGTGTTCTGATAGGCAGGCTGGCTGCAAGCAGGCTGGGCCTTCCTCATTC